GAGAGAGAGAGAGAGAGAGAGAGAGAGAGAGAGAGAGAGAGAGAGGAGAGAGAGAGAGAGAGGAGAGAGAGAGAGATCTGTAACTGTGTGTGTATCTGTCTGTATGTACACTCATCAGCCTATATTCTTCCTTTTTTCTAGTGAAGTGGCCACTGAGGTGCCGTTTCGCCTCATGCACCCACAGCCCGAGGACCCAGGTCAGTCATTCCCATTGTCCAGGATGCCTCTTACCATTAACCACAGGCAGAATTATTGCACATCAGTGTATCTCTGGTCTTCCTTGACTATCCCTCTGAGCATGGAAGAGAGAGCCAGCTCACCCACTGAGTCCTGGGCCTGTCCACCCCTGTCTACATGTGGAGGGTGTAGCATGCCTACTTTCTGTTGAGTATGGATGACCTGGATTTTATCAGGGACAATGTCACTGCGGAAGCTCTGCTGTCCACAGACCTTGATTTAGATTTAGAGATGATGTCAGGGACAAACCCTCTGAGGAGCCCGAGGTACTGCTTTATGTAGAAATGAAATGTCTCTCATTTGCAAGTGTCAACAGACATCTAGAAGGTGATGCATATTTTTGAAAGTAGTAATAGTGATGAGATTACAGAAAATACTAGAAAAGGTCAGCCTGGGTTTCCACCGTCTCCGTTCAGGATGATCCATCCACTCACTCTTGTGTGGATATAAAATGAAGCAATTGTTGCACACATCTGTGAACACTGAGACTCTCCCACTGTCCCTGCAAAGACGAGAATGGGACAGCATATGAGCTAGGAAGTTCTGAGAAGAAAAGTTAAATGGAGGTAGGTGTGCTAGGGTATGCCTGTGGTCCCAGTGCTCAGGAGGCTGAGGCAGGAGGATGGCAAGTTTGAGGCCAGCCTAGACAATAAATAGCAAGACTACCAAAAAATAATGTCTCAAAGTATCTTTGCCAAATATTGTAGACCTAAACCCTGAGTAGACTTTGCCAAGAGCTTCCCTTAGGGAGAAAATACAGTCTAGTCATACATTTTTGTTCATTTATGTTTGTCTCATTAAAATGCAGTTTTAAACATTTATTTGAGACTAATCAGGATGGCAATCCAGGAAAATACAGATCCAAGCAGTCTTGAAAATGTGCTCCTCAATGCTTTCCCTCCCTCCCTCCCTCCCTCCCTCCCTTCCTCTTCTCTTTCTTCCTTTTTCTCTTTCTTTTTTCCCCCTAGAGATGAACTCACACATGTTAGGCAGGTGTTCTAATACTGAGCCTCATCCCCAGCCACCAAGAAAACTTTTTTTTTTTTTTTTAAATGGTGTGAGATTCAGATATCCTGGTTCCCTTCAAAGACCCTGAAAACAGTCTCCTGAAGCCACACTTATGCTGGGTAGTTTTCTGGAATGAACTTTCTTTCTTGTTTTATTTTTTTGACACAGGGTTTCTCTGTGTTAGCTCTGGCTATCCTGCAGCTCACTCTGTAGACCAGGCTGGCTCACAGAGATCCTCCTGCCTCTGCCTCCTGAGTGCTGGGATTAAAAGTGTGCACCACCACCACCTGGCTGTTTTCTGGAACTTTCAATATAGGTGACTTACTTTGGAAGAAGTGGAGTTATTCTCCCTTCACTTAGAGTATTTTCACAGTCTGGTCATTACAGACCCTACATTAGAAAACTTATAATTTTAAGATGATACAGTGATCTTTTGTGCTTAAGATTTCCCAGAGTTGGGGCCAGAAAAATGGCTCAAACCCCTGATGCCAGGGCTGCTATCTTTGTGGTCTACCTCTTCAGGCTCAAGGTTCCTTTACTCAACAGAATAAAATTCTCGGGTGTCTCTTTCCAGAGGAAGTTTTATTTTATCTTAAAATTTCATTGGAATGAGGGTTGAATCTAAGGCCTAGAAGGTCCTGGCAAGTGGCCTACCAGCCTTCATTTTGTTATTTTGAGGTAGAGTCATGGTGGCACAGGCTTGTCATTTCAGCCACCAGGGGGTTGAGCAGGAGCATTGTGAGTTCAAAGTTAGCCTAGCAACTAGTGAGAACCTATCTCAAAGAAAGAAGAAGAAGAAGAAGAAGAAGAAGAAGAAGAAGAAGAAGAAGAAGAAGAAGAAGAAGAAGAAGAAGAAGAAGAAGAAGAAATCAAAAAATCTCTGGGCAATTTTAAAATAGAAACCGAGATTTTGAGACCAGTTACAGATGAACAAATTTGAACCACATTCAGGATTCATCAGGCTGTTCTGAAAACAGAAGCCAAGTAATGCCGTAGAGGCTAGGGTGTGCAAGAAGCAGGGAGAAGGGCAAAGGAGGCAGAGGTCATGTTTCCATCGCGCTCTTCTCTCCTGACATTCTGACATTCTTTGTAGCCAAGACTGCAGTTGCAGCCCACTCCCTGGTCCAGATGACCTTGTGGTCTCGGAGCCTCACACGGCACACACCTGCGTTTGTGAGGGCCCAGCCAGCCCTAATCTGGTTTGGAGCTTTGGTTTTCATTCTGTTTTTTGTTTGTTTGTTTGTTTTTTGTTTACTCGACTGTGACATCTTTTCCTTTTTGTATTGGGATTCTAGATACAAGGCATGGAGTGTAGAGGGATAATAAAGACTGTCTTTTGCAAGTGTTCGTGAATGCTGTAACCTTCTGCATCGTACATTTTGTGTTTCACTCTCATGAGTGGGTGGGAGGGAGGATGGCGGGCTGGCAAGGCTAAGGTGAGCAAATGAGCATGCTCCCTGAAGGAGAAGCAAGTATAAGCAATCACATGTATTACATTTCAGACTCCTTGGAGACATTCCTGGAGGGGGAATGTTACGTAGCTTTTCCCTTAGTTTAACATGGATTGCTTTTGGGAGAGACTACTATTTATTATGGAAAACAATGTTTGGTAAATGTTTTTCTTCGGATTTTTTTGTCCAGTTGGTTTGACTGGCACCATCTTTGAGATCAGAATTTACCCAACGCTGGAGTAGACTGCCTGCTGTAGTAACTTGTTTAAAAATAGATCTTTAAAAAATTATTTATTTAACTTTAATTTATTTATTTTGTTGCTAGTTTTTGCAGAAGCGATATGTCACGGAATAGCTAGTTATTCAGGAGAGGTTACAGAGAAGTTGGGTTTGTATACACTCAGTCCTAGCAGCAGTAGTGGGTAAAGAAGATATTTTATTTAGGTTTATTTTGTGTGGCTACGTCTTTATGTTTTGAGATGCAGGTTTGCTGTAGTTAGTTTTTGTTAACTTGGCACACATTAGAGTGGCCTGCGAAGAGGGAACTGTCGTTATCAGATTGGCCTGGAGGCAAGTCTGGGGTGGGGCTCTATCTTGATTTATGGTTGATATGGGAGGACCCAGACGACTGTGGGCAGTGCCGCTCCTGGGCGGGTTGTCCTTGGGTGTGTAAGAAAGCAGACTGAGCAAACAAACCATGGAGAGGGAGCCAGTAAACAGCACTCTTCCATCACCTCTGTTTTAGTTCCTACCTCACGGTTCCTGCTTGAGCTCCTGTCCTTGGCTGTCCTTGATGGTGAACTGTAATGTGTAAGATGTAATAAGCCCTTTCCTCTGCAAGTTACTTTTGGTCATAGTTTTAATCACAGCATCAGAATCCAAATTAGGACAGGGCCTCAGTATGTTTCAGAAGCTGACCTTGAACTCCTTGCTTCAAGTCATTCTGCCTCAGCCTCCTGAGTGGCTAGACTACAGTTTCATGCCACTGTGCCTGTGTGTGGCTATACTTGGAAGAGTCATACAGTAGAGATTGAGCTAGAACTAGAGTATATCATAAAATAAGAATTGGAGAGTGCTTTAAAAATTGTATTATCATTTTAAAATTATGTGTATGTGTGTGGCTATGTGCACACGAGTGCAGTTACCTGTGGAGACCACATGCCTTGGATCTCCCTGAAGCTGGACTTACAGATGATTGTGAGCCAACTGAAGTTCAGGTCTTATGGAAGAACAGAAGAGCTCTTAACCATTGAGCCATCACTCTAGCCTACAAGTAGAGAGATTTTTTTTTAAAAGCCCATCTCTTTTGTGGAAAGAACTGGAGTTAATATTTGTAATGTTGGTTTTGATGTCAGGTGGATGATAGGCTAGTACTGTTGAACCTTTGAGTGTTTCTTGGATGTATAGGAAGGACGGCATTTCACATCGCTTTCTGTTGCTGTGGCACAGTGCCTCAGACAGTCAACTTCAAAAGAGGAAAGGTTGATCTTGGCTCACAGTTTTCGAGGTTTCAGTCCATGATTGATTGGCCACATACTTATGGGCCTGTTGTGAGGCAACATATTATGGTAGAGAATACATGATGGACCCAGCTGCTCCTGTCATGCTGGCCTGCCTGGAAGCAAACAGAAGAAAAGAGACCAGCATCCCAAGGTCCTCTACAAGGGCATGCCCCTAGTGAACTAAAAATTCCCAAGAAGTTTCCACTCCTCAAATGTCCCACTACCTCCTGGCAGTGGTTCTCTGAAGACTAAGCCTTTACCCCACTGGCCTTTGGGTCATATTTATGACTCAAACTATAACACACATGGATCCAGAAACCAAATGGGAGCAAGGTTGCTTGAGCATTCTGGGTGCTATCTCCCCTGAGATATTGGCCATGGTTAAATTTCTGTGCTTTTGTAAAATGTGGATAGTAGTTATTTATCTTTGTTGAGGATTAAATTGTTTAATATATAACACACTTAAGACAAGTTAAATTAATATATGCTAAATTGATATGTAGTTTGATGTACCATCATAACTAAGTGTTGGTGCTTTTATAGGACAGTAGAAAATGAATATATTTTTCTCATACATAGTTATGGAAAGCTAAAATAATCTTCATGGTATTTCACTTATTAGAATAATTAACTTGCTTATTGTCTAATTAAGAGTATGAGGAAATTGGCAGTTAGTTCTCTACAAGGATGGATGAATTTACCCAGGTGTGGCACATGCCTCTAATCCTTGCACTGAGGAGACAAAGATGGAGAATCATTGGTTCTGCCAGCTTGTGCTACCAAAGC